TCCAAACAGACCAAGGATCAGCTCCCCCGCCCCCCCACTCCACCCAGTATGTGCTCTGGAACTGGCATTTTCCTTCCAGGTTGGGGACTCCGGACCCCCCCTTTCTGCCCAGAGGGGCCTGGATCCCAGTTTTACTGGAAAGACACCAGCACCAGCAGAACCCGGGACCACCACAGACCCACTGGGTTGTTTTCAGTGTGCTGGACGCCACGCTTCGGTGGATCCCACATTGCTCCTTTTACGGCTGGGGTGTAGGAACAAAAAAGCAAGATGGGGTGGGACTCGGTGGAAAGGAAACGGAGATATGGGGCTGCTGGAAAAGGGACCCACTTAAGCTTTCTAGGCAGCGGGAGCAGCTCTTTGGCAGAGGCGGCCTCAGCCTGTCTCTTGGCCTGAGCCGAAAAGATTTTGCCCCCTCCCTCCTTCCTTCCTTCCCTCCCTCTCGAGCCAAAAAGATTTTGCCCCCTCCTTCCTTCCTTCCTTCCCTCCCTCTGCCCCCCCAATGCATTTCCTCCCGGGGCAAACTATTCATCCAGCAGGGAGCTGGGATTGACCCCCCCCTCTTTGCAATGACCTCTTCAAGAAGTTTAAAGCGGGGTCCTAGAAAAACCATCTGATGGGAGGCTGGGAGGCCTGACGCTGGTCAAGCGCCCAGGCAGGGTCTAGGGAGCAGAGGAGCCTCCTCCTTAGAGAAATGGGCCAAAGCTATTCACCCAGAGAGGGGCTGGGGAGGGTGCGAGGGTTAACGCTTTGATTTGGATGAAAAAGGAGCTGCCTTTCCAGCAAGCCCCCCCCCCCCGCAGCTTCTTGGCAGCTAAGAGAGAGAGAGAGCCCGGACACCCTCCTGAATGGGCGCGCACACAGAGAACACACCACACGCACAAACAGAGTCTTCTTGGCTTAGGAGAGGCCCTGACTGAACACGGCTCTTCTGAGCCTCTGAAACGACCCCTGGTCTGGGCAGGCTCGTTTCTGCACCCGGGAAGGCTGGCCTTCGAAGCGGAGTCACCACCGACGGTCTCTCCCCTGCTGCAGGTTTCCTCTTAAGACCCTGTGCTGTGAAATAGCAGGTCCTGGGTTCAAATCTTGTTTCTGCCATAGATATTCTAGGTGACCTACATCCCTGTCACTCTCCCCCTTTGCTTCATTCTTCCCTGGGCATCTAGAACATCAAATAAACTACAGTACTTACTTACTTACTTACTTCTATCCATCATCGGGCAGCGTGGCCTCTTCTTCTATAACCTATCCAGCTTATTTAGGTGAAAATTCATTGGTATGTGAGGAAATTTTATTTCTAGCACTGAGCATTATTGCATATCTTTCTGGAAAGACAAACACACAAACTTTCTAATGCATTGACAACATGGCTATAAATAATCTTATAAAAAGCCCTCCCATGGCCCATCTTTCCTCAAATGAGCCGGAGAGGCTCTTCTCCTTCCTACAACCTCCTTGTGAGGTAGGTAAGGCGGACAGAGTGAGTGACCTTCCCAGAGACACCTGGGGACTTTTATAGCTGGAGGGGGATTTGAACCCACTGCACCCCACTCCAGAACTCTAGCCTTTGAGGCCTCCAAGTACCTGTTCATTCCAACATTTCAATCCTCCTTTCCTTCCAGGGAGCTCCTCGCTCCCCTTTTCTCCTGTATCCCACCATCACCACCCGGTGACTTTTATAGCTGGAAGGGGATTTGAACCTGGGTCTCCCTGCGCCCCACTCCAGAACTTTTGAGGCCTCGAAGTACCTGTTCATTCCAACATTTCAATCTTCCTTTCCTTCCAGGGCGCTCCTCGCTCCCCTTTTCTCCTGTATCCCACCATCACAAGCTGGACAGAGGTGGTCCAAGGTCATCCAACCCCTTTATGTGCCCAAGACAGGATTTGAACCCAGGTCTCCCGAGGCCTAGTCCGATGCTGTACCGCCCCTTTCTTTCCTCTCTCCCCCCCCATCTGCCCCCCAATACCTTCCACCCTCGGCCTCCTTTTTACAGGTTCTCTCTCTCTCTCTCTTTTTTTTCTGTGTGTCCCTCCTGTGTTCTGTCCAATGCAGAAGACCAGAGGAAAGGGGGGGCGTGTTTGCTTTTGCCGGTTTTGTGCTGAATTAGAATCGCCTTGGCTGCGCAGCGCCCCTTCTTTTCCTTTAAGGGAGAACAGGGCAAGGGGGAGGAGAGAGAGAGAGAGAAAAGAGAGAGAGAGAGAGATTCGTCGTCGTTCCCCCCCCCCCCCTCTCTCTCTCTCTCTCTCTGCCTCGCCGTCGCTGGGGGCCAGTCCCGGGTGCCCGCCGGCTCCCCTTCCATTTCGCCCTTGCGCTCCCTTCGAAAAAGCTGCATCGCCCGGTGCGGCACCAGCCGGCCGGCCCTGATCCAAAGGAGGAGGAGGAAGAGAAGGAGGAGGCATTAAAAGTTCTCTCTCACTCTCTTCCCCCCCCCCTCTCTCTGCTGCCTTCAGCCCAGGCAGCCTGGAATCAAGAAGCCTCTCCTTGTGAATTCTGCAACCTCTTGCATCCTCCTGGTCGATCCGGCACCGGCAGGTCCCCTTCCGTGAGTAAGGAAGCGCGGCTCCCTTCTGGAGGTACGGATTGGAGGAGACCCTTTCCAAAAGGGGATGGTCCCCCCTTCTCTTTCCCCCCCCCCCGCCCCTCCCCTCCCGCCCGGCCCGCCGCCGCTTGGAGGCCGGTGTCCGGGTGTCCGCGGGCGTTTGTTTGGCCGCAAAGCTGGTCCCAGCCTCCCTCCGTGCCCGTTGGAGCGGATGCTGCAGGATGAAGCCGGCCTCAAAAGTTCAGGGACTGCAGTTCTGCCGGTTTGCAGAGAACCACATTTCGAGAAGGGCATAACCTTGATGGGGGGTG